AATTAGGAGAAAAATAAATGTCTCTGAATGTAACATAGCTACTATAATATCATTTTAATGATATGCTTCACAATGGAACATTCAATGGAAATAAAGTGATTGATGACTGTTATTAGGAGAGGAAAAGCGTTCACTTACTAAAATGTCCCTAGTACACAACCCCTACTCCCCAATTCAGATGTATTGTGAAAAGTTTTCAATTAATGATAAGGACATTTATAATTTATTTTAAATAATTTTCTTTTTTTAATTGCATATATGTATGTGAACAAATATTTTGCAAACCAATGATGAGAGAACCAGCCATACCCTTCATAATGAAAAGATTCACTTACAATTTGGTTCACATGGAAAAGATTGGTAAGGCATATAATAGAATCCACATTTAGGAATCCCTAAAGATTATTTAAATCAGTTTTTCTCAGTCAAAATTTTCCTAGCAAGAGAGAAAGAGACAGAGAAAAATAAGAGAAGATAGAGTGAGAAATTCCCTTTTCTTTTTTTTTCTGGAGCAGCTGAGAGACTGCTGACCAAGCCCTCCCTCCTGAAGTCCTATTTTCCCTGCCCTCCCAAGGATGTACTCTCCTCACTGTCCTCCCAGCTCTGTTTGGTTTTGCTCTGGCTTCTCTTCCTCATCTCTTGTTTTCCTCCAATTTTATATCCAGTCCTCTTACTTTTCCCCTTTGTCCAGGCAGCCTCAGCCAAAAAGGACTTCAGCCACTCCCCCATATTCAGATAACCCCAATGTCTGTGTCTCCAGCCCTGGTCTGCCCCTTCCAATCCTCTGCGCTCCCTGCTAACAGATGAGCCTTCTGTAAGCACCCCTGTCAAACTTCCCATTCCAGAACTTTCAAGGGCTTCTCATTTTCTACGGAAGAGAGTCCAAATTCTTTACTCTAACATCTAAGGCCCTTCCTGCTCTATCCCTAACACACATCTAGAACTTTCTTTTCTTTTTTTTTTTTTTTTGTTGAGGTATAATTGACATAACGTTATATTAGTTTCAGGCGTACAATGTAATGATTTGATATTTGTATATATTTCAAAATGATCACCACAATAAGTCCAGTTAACATCCATCACCAAATATAGTTACAAAAAACTTTTTTTCTTGTGGTGAGAACTTTCAATATCTACTCTCCTAGCTGCTTTCACATATGCAATACAGTGTTAATAACTATACTCACCATGCTGTACATTACACACCCATGCCGTTTATTTTATAACTGGAAATTTGTACCTTTTGACTCCCTTTTCCCGATTTGCCCTCCTCTCACTCCCCGCCTCAGGTAACTACCAAACTGTTCTCTATACCCCTGATCTTGGCTATTTTTTTTTTTTTTTTGCTGAGGAAGATTCACCCTGAGCTAACATCTGTTGCCAATCTTCCTTTTTTCGCTTGAGGAAGATTTAGCTTCCACTTATAAGTGAGATCACATGGTATTTGTCTTTCTCTGACTTATTTCACTTAGCATAATGCTCTAAGGGTTCATCCATGTTGTCATTAATGGCAAAATTTCCATCTTTTTTATGGCTGAATAATATTTCAG